GAAGAAATCATATAAGCAGAACTCGGGAAACATCGAGCCCCTCCCCTCGGCGCGCCCTTTAGGGCCCCCATGCCAGGCACGGGGCGGGCCATGTCCGACCCCCGTGTCATCCCCAACGTAAGTGGCAGGCTGTGCTCCTGAGAGCGTTGATTAATACTACAACTCGCTCATCAAGCTGTGACAATGTTGACGATGAGAAGCAAGTTGTGATAGCATGGAAGAGAAAGTCAGTCATACGGACATAGTATACAAGAGAAATTACGTATGCATGACTAGTGCCTCTCCGAGCCCTTCCCCGAGGCATGCCCTGCGGGGCTCCCATGCCGGGCACGGGGTGGGCCGCATCCTTGAACTGATGTCGGTCGTTGGTACTGTCGAGACTGGGCGTAGTGTCGTGGTCACAGTGGGCGTATAACGGGGCGCATGCTGGGCGCATGCTGGGCATGAAACTCGCCGCTGTGCTAGCGTAGGATGCAGAGTGGGCGTAGTACTTGCGGAGACTATGCATGGGCCATCCCTCAGTGCTGGCTCCTGGTCTGGAGGTCAGCCTGCTGGTTGGGTACTTGTGCCTCGATATGTGGCACGTGAGGGTCGAAGTAGAGGTCGAAGGGTATGTACCCTGTGTAGTCAAAGAATGAAACGCAGGCGCTGCGTAATGCGTCAAGGGCCGTACTGAATTCGCCGAGAGAACTACAAATGTCCGTCAGTAAGTTCCGTGTACCCTGAGTTGATAGTAGGGCTACTGGGTTGTGTGCTAGACATTGGCCTTTGCTTATGTTGTCTTGGTGAAATCTCCGTGACCAACGTTGCAAGGTGTGAGGCCAATACTGTTGTCGGTGCTTTGGTCGACTTGCCAAAGGTGCACTGGTCGAGATCGGTAGTTTGCGGCGCCGATGTTATTTGTCGAAGTTGAGGTATATGCCAAATGTTGCGTGCTGTGGAGTGCCATCTTGGTTGGTTTGAAAACAGCATAGCTGGTGTCTGTCTGTATGTGGCGATGTGAAACACTAAGATCATGCATAATTCACGTATGTTGGACAGTCTTGTGCGCAACAGCTGCTGGGTCGTGGTTTGGTGCGACCCATACCTCCGTGGTTGTCCTTTGTGTCGTTGAGGCTGTCCATGTGCCGTTGGGTGGTATTCCAATGATGGCTGCTACCCGGCCCTGTATGATTCGTTGGACCCAGATGTCAGTGACCTCCGGTATTGCCAGGTCGAGTGGCGAGTCGCCGTCACATCCAATACTAATGCACGCGCATCTCTGCGTGATGCAAGTATGCTCCAGATGCTGCTGAAGATCGTTTTGGCAATTAGCGTTCTGACAGAAAAAACAGGACGTAAGTAGGATTACTCTTGCTGTCGGTGCAATGTTGTCCGTCTGCAGTTGGTTAGTCAATGCTCATGATTGGTGGGGTGGGTGCCATAAAGTATTCTCGGATGTGTCGCCTGTAGTCGACTGGCAAGATGGCTGGAATCGTGGCTGCATCTGCACGCAGCCCCTTGTCTCTGTTGGTTCGCTTGCCGTGTCGGTCGCTCAGCTGCAGTGCTCGGATGGTGTGGTGTGCAATAGGTAGCGCATGCTGCATGCAGTAGTTATGACAACGTGCTACTCTGGATCGCAAGTGCGTAGGAAGCCTCTGCCGTGCGGAAGGCTACATCAGAGGGCAGAAAATCCACCCCGATAATAACCACCCCGACACGTGAAGTTGTTAAATGCGCCCAAAGAAGGAATCGAACAGGGCAGGGCTCTTTAGTAAACGCCCAAGGCCGTTTCATAAACGCCACTTGTCCAGTCCGGGTGGCTATTCCTCCTTGGACATATCGTGCAGCATCTGCAGGCGCTGCCGTCGACTCTGCGCGCGATGTCGCCCTGCCGTGGGTTTTTTTTTCTGGTGCGGTGGGCACTCTCCGTGCCCCCACTAGGTGTTGGAAGCGTGCCTCCCACGCCCGTGGCAGGAGTGTACCGGCTGTGCGGGTGCGGTGGTGCTGCGGGGGCCAGTCCACAGGAAACCCGCCACAGGAAACCCAGCCACCTGAAACCCCAGGACGTCCACTGATTTCTGGCGTGGGGGCGTCGCGCCTTCCACAGCAGGACCATCGAGACCCAAGACAGTGGGCAGCCTGGGTAGCCACCCGGCCTTCTGAGATCCCCGGCCTTCTGAGAAGACACGGAAAACACGGAAAACTTCTCAGAAGGCCGGAGGGCTTCTGAGGCCTGCCCCGAAGACACAGAAAACTTCTCAGAAGGCCGGAGGGCTTCTGAGAAGTTCCGCCGCCTTCTGAGAAGGCCTTCTCCTTCTCAACTCCCCCCCTCGTTCGCCGCCGACGTAATGATCATGCCCGGCAACGGTGTTTCTTGGCATGGGCCTCCTCTGTACTGGCGCCGAGGAGGCACGCTCGAGGTCCAAGTGGCTGTACGTGCTGATGCCCTGCTGCCGTATACGGCTGGTCGACGCCATTACGCTGCGCGTGCTCCAAGCTTGAATGTTTCCACCTGTCGTAGGCCGTGTGGAGGTGCGCCGTGTGCGTACTCAAGCCATCGTGCTGTGGTCCAGTGTCGTTGGGGATCGTCCGCTTGCGGCGTAGTGGTATCCAGCCATCTGGAGTCAAGGGTTCCCAGTTGGACCCGAGTAGAAGTGGCGTCTGTGGCGGTGGTCGCATCTGGTGCAAGATGTTCGCGTGCGAGGCCGATGAGTCGCAGTAGTATGTGTGGTGCGTTGGAAGGTAGACTTGCTATGTATGTGAGCAGTGAGCAGTATTGGTCGCAACTCGCTCTCGAAGTCCGTTCGTTCGACAATGGTGTAGTCGCTGGTCGGTTACATGTGAGTCGCTGGTTTGTAAGAAATGCGGATGCGCAGCACTGCAATAGGACTGGTTTCTCGCGGTGCGAACTGTGCTGAGCTGGTCTTGCTGAGTGGGCTCCAGGCTTCTGTTTGGCAGGAGAGGTGGCAAGTGACAGACGTGCCAGCGAGTTGTCCGCCACCGTGCCGCTGGACACGGAGTGGGCGTGTCCTCAGGTCCCTTGCTCCCTTTCCCTACTCATCTAAGCCTCAATCATCACTCCTGAGGAGTCTCGTAGGAGCCCAGCGCCCAAATAGCCGATCTCCCAGAGCGTGCCGTGGCTTCCCACACCTTCTCGCGAGACTTGCTCGGGCCAGAGAGGGCCCCAGGAAGGGACAAGAGGGCCCCAAGAGGCTCTCACGACGGCCCAAGAGCGCCCCGAGACGCCCAGAGATCGCCCCAAAGCGCCCAAGATGGCACCGAGACGGCCCAAGAAGCCCACACGGCGCCCCAAAAGGCTTCCAGGAGGCCCCCCAAGAAGGCCCCACGAGGCACAAATCATATATGGTCCATCGGTGCTTGAAGGATCTGGGCGCTCTCGCCTTCGCAGCTTTCCTACACTCCAAGACCGCCCACAAGCCCCCAAGATCGCCCCAAGACTGACCCAGAGGCCTCCAAGAGGGCCCCAAGACGGCCCAAGGAGGGCTCCAAGACGGCCCAGGAAGATTCCAAAACTGCCCAAGAGGCCACCAAGACGATCATAAGAGGGGACCAAGTGGGGGATCACGAACCGAAAACTCGAGCCTTTCTCCCGGAGAGGGCCCCAGGAAGCCCACAGAGGGCCTCACGAGCGCCACGAGGCTTCCACGAGGTCCCCAAGAGGCCCCGAGTGGCCCCGAAGAGGCCCCAAAGAGGCCCTAAGAGGCCCCCAAACGGCCCTCAAGAAGCTTCAAAAGTGCCTCCAAGAGCCCCCCCCCAGAGGCCTCGCACGAGATCCCAACGAACGTCCATGAAGCCTCAGACCCACAACCCAGGCACGGTGGCGTGATGGGCCGAAGGCCATTAGATACATTGGTGTTGTTCCTTGTCTGTCTGAAGTGTGTAATATTGAGTGATGCCAAGGCGCCTCGTTGCTTGGTGACTTGATGTGCTACTAATACGGCCGGCTGTAAAGCATGCAGGGTTAAAGCGCGTGCCAAGGTAGTCGTAAATGTGTGTGATGGGCATATGCTGAGCTCAGGTCGGACAGTAGATGGTCGGTGCATTCCCTGCGTAGAGTTTCTGCTTTGCTTGATATGTTCATTTGTCTGCCAAGTGCAGGGTAAAAGCTGACTTGCACGGCTTGTAGCTGAGTTTGAAGACATAGCTAGTGAATATTGTGTGTGCTGGTAACATCTTCGCTCATGTAGAATTCCAGCAGGTCTTTGTCTATGTATTGTGTTGATATAAGCGCGGTGTCAACGAAGGCGATGTTGGTGCCGTTCGTATCCTCATCCGTGCTGGTGCGCTGAAATGCTGAGAATTGTGGTTGGGCTGGTGTCGGTAGTTGGACTGCGTACGGTTGGTTGGCCATACGTGCTGCTAAGTCGTTGAGTGGTCTTGCAAATGAGAGGTTGTACATGGCGTCTGCTAGGCTGCTGCCTGGTCTTGTAATTTTCGTTGGGTGAGCTGCAACGTTGGAATGCTTGCAAATGAAGTGGGATGCACGGTAAGATTCAAGTAGATGTGCGTGAAGGTGCTGGTCGCTGTCGCGTGTGCTGAGCATTCCCGGTTGACTGGTAGTATGCTGTATTATCGTTTTGCTGGCAGTATGCTTCAGTACGCTGTATTGTCGTCGTCTGGCTCTGGAGATGCATACTTCCCCAACACCGTTTTTGTGCGAGCCCCCAAAGACCGAAACCAGCGCAAAACCTCCGGCTATGATTTGTTCATGACGCGAGGGGGTCCAGGGAACGGGGAGGCCCTTTCCTGCATCTCTCTGGATCGTCCCGTGCGAAGGTTTGGGCCAGCGAGGCCGAGGTCGACGCGCTTCCGCCAGCCCCCGCGGGGCGCTCCACCAGACCCCCGCCGAGGGGGAAGCAGGCCAAGCCTTCGCTCTCTCGGTGCGGGGGGGCCTTTTTGCTTCTCCGTGGGACGCCCTCGGCGATGGCTTGGGCCGCGCGCTGCTGGTCTTCTGTGCGCTGGCGGGGCGTGCTCTGGTCGGCTCACTGCGTCGCGACTCAGTGGCTCTCCTTGAACTTGTGGACGACGGTCTCCTCCTGGACGGCGCGGTTGGTGTTGTTCCTGAGCTGGTAGCGGCCCGAACCCTGGGGATGCTCCATCAGGTGGTGGGCCGTGACTTCGAACTCCTTCCAAGGCCGCGCTAACGGCGATGCTGGTTAACGGCGATGTTAGGAATCCGACTTTTGTGACGCCGAGCTCGCGCAGAACAAATTGTAGGAACTCACGAACCACACTTTCCTACATTCCAAATGTGCGATTGTATCGAGCGAAAACGACGCAGCGAACTGTAGGAAAGCACGAACCACGGTGTCCTACAATTGGTGTGGCCACGAGGCACTCCCACCTGCAATGCCGAAACCTCCATCGCCGTTACCTACATCGCCGTTAGCGCGTCCGCGGTCCTTGAACGGGACGGGGTACCCGTGGTTCTCGGGCTCATCGCAAGACGCGCCTCCCACGCAGCCCGTGCCGACCGATCCCGCAAACACGAGGGCGGGCGGCGGTTCCACGCCCGTCCCGAGGAATGTAAAGTTGGACTCCAGATGATCCGTTGCCCACTGGCCGATCTCGATGCGGGTCTCAGGGTGCCCTGGAACCTCCTCCCTGTAAGCGAGGTAGAAGCGCGTAATTCCCACTGCTTGCCCCTCCGAACGTACCGCCTCGTACCCAGGCCAGGGGATGAAGCACTCCTCTTTCGGGTCGTCGCAGCCGAAAGACTGCAGGAAGTAACGGGTGACATGCTCCTTAAAGAGCCAAGTTGGAGGTGCTTCCACAGGAGTAAGGTCCTTCTTGATCTTAAAGGTCATTTTCGAACCAATTTTTTCAGAAATGGAGTCTAAGATGGACCAGCCCGTGCGAGGCCCCAGAAGGTTGGAGAGCGATCCGAGGCCAAGCGTATCCTGGTGCCAACTTATCGTAAGATCTTCCACGCGCGAATCCCCATCACACTTGAAGTCCAGTTTCTGGCACGTGGGACTAAACATGCCACATGGATTCTCTATCCACTTCCTCATGCCCAGGCGGGCATCACACAAGAGCTTATAAGCCGTTTTACTCTCCCTCGAAATCTTGCTTTCATTCGACCCTGACACTGCCGTCACCTTCAGCGCTGTCCGAGCCGCTTTAACGCCAGTGATGGCGGTCGGGCCCAAAAGCAAGAGCACCACCAGGGAAGAGCAGCGCGACGGAGCCATGACGGACGAGTCGAACCTGTTAACGAGTCGAGTCAATCGTAAAGGATTTGGCAACACACGCAACTGAAATACTGGAATCGCAGATGGCTCGAGTTAACGGCTGGAGGCTACGGACTTCAACACATACCCACACACAAGCATTGCTACCTCGCGCGTCGCACACAAAGACATCAGGATCTGTCGATTCGCATCACGACGCTAAGAGGAGGAGGAGGAGGCAGCGCGTACAGTTGGATGTACCCCTCGAGCTGGATCGGCCCCCGCCCGTCGCCCGAGTTCGGGCAAGAGCGCCCGTCGCTGCCTCTTGCCACTGCGTGCGGGCTCCGCCGACCCCCCCCAGGCGGCGAAGGAGGCGGCGGAGGCGGCGGAGGAGAAGGAGGAGAAGGAGGAGAAGGAGGAGAAGGAGCAGAAGGAGGAGGAAGAGGAGGAAGGAGGAGGAGGAGGAGGAGGAAGGAGGAGGAGGAGGAGGAGCAGGAGGAGGAGGAGGAGGCTAACAGAGCCCGCCCAGGACGAGGCCCGGAGGACCCCCTCTCCGGAGAGCCGCCCGGGCCCCGCTCCCCCGTGCCGCGCGCGCGGGCCGCGGCCGAGGAGAGGGAGGCGCGCGTCGCCCCGTTTTGCCACGAGCCCTCGGACGTCGGAAATCCCCCGCAAGGCCTCCTCCTCCTCCTCCTCCTCCCCTCCCCCTCCTCCTCCTCCTCCTCCTCCTCCCCTCCTCCTCCTCCTCCTCCTCCTCCTCCTCCTCCTCCTCCTCCTCCTCCTCCTCCTCCTCCTCCTCCTGCTCCTGCTCCTGCTCCTCCTCCTCCTCCTTCTCCTCCTCCTCCCCCTCCCCCCTGCTGAGCATCGTGAAAAGCCACGGCCAGAGCCCAGGCCAGCCCAGGACGGGGCCCAGGGGGCACCCTCAGGAGGCGCCTGGAGGCCACGCGGCGGGACGACATGAGCCTAGTCTCCAGCCTCAAGTCTTCCCCAGCGAACCCTGCCCCCCTCGCTATCCGGGTTTTGGACGCTTACAAGTACCTCGTAGAGCTCTTCGACATCGATGAGCTAGAGGAATTCCGACGCGGGGTGCAGCTAGTTGGCCGACTCGACCAAAAGAGACAATGTGATGACTTTGGGTCGGTTTTGTTAATATTCGTAAGATATTTGGCCCCCCCCCCCTCGTCCCCTTTCTCACGAGACGCAGACGAGTGTGCCAACGCCTATTCCCCTTGCCACCCCTCGCACGACACATGAAGCACAGTGACGCCCGATCCCGACGCACCTCCTCTGGGAATAGCCTGCAACTGCTGCTACCCTCGCCGACCAGCACTGCCGATCAACAAACACGGCCGAAGAGCAACTCCACTCGAGCGCCCCACAGACGCTGCAACTCTTGGCTCGTCGACAAGCATGAAGCGTGGACGAGGAGGGCATCGGCGGCGACGATGACGACGAGATGGCGTGAAGGAAGCGGCGCAAGGCAAAAACCATGCAACCACTTGAGCAGGAACCGACCGTCCCGGCATTCCTATAGTCCTACCACGAAATGTTCTTGGAACCCAAAAATGTTCAAAATAATAAAAACAATGTTCTTAGAACATTAACCCGATGCGTTAAACCAAGACAGTCCCAGCCAGAAATGTTCTGAGAACACTTCGTGGAAACCACAAGAGGTTCTTAGAACATTGCTTGGTAGGGCTATAGGCGAGCCAGGACGCTTCGCCACTGCTTGAACCACACGTAAACCCCACCCCTGCAGGTCAGAGTTCTGAGACCCTGGCTGGGGCTCAGAGTTCGAAGGGCGTCGGGCTGGACCCCTCGGCCCGGCCCGGAGGACCCCTGGAGGGCAGTGCCCCAACCCCAATTCGAAGGGCGTCGGGCTGGACCCCCCGGCCCGGCCCGGAGGACCCCTGGAGGGCTGTGCCCCAACCCCCCCATGCGAGGGCAGTGCCCCCCCCCGTCCGAGGCACCCGGGCCCCTGTGGGACCCCCCCACCAACGATCGGCGATCTGCGGGCGCCCAGAAGACGGCCCAAGAGGCCCCCAGGAGGCCCACGGAGGCTCCCAAGAGGGCCCGAAGAGGCGAGAAGAGGCTGATCTGGAACCGGAGCCGGTCGCGCCGGTCGCGCCGGTCGCGCCGGTTGCGCCGGTCGCGCCGGTCGCGCCGGTCGCGCCGGTCGCGCCGGTCGCGCCGGTTGCGCCGGCTGCGCCGGTCGCGCCGGTTGCGCCGGTCGCGCCGGTCGCGCCGGTCGCGCCGGTCGCGCCGGTCGCGCCGGCTGCGCCAGCTGCGCCGGTCGCGCCGGTTGCGCCGGTTGCGCCGGTCGCGCCGGTCGCGCCGGTCGCGCTGGTTGCGCCGGCTGCGCCGGCTGCGCCAGCGGCGCCGGCTGCGCCAGCGGCGCGTCGATTGTGATATCAACACAGACATCACAGTCGTCATGTCGCTCTCCCGTCGTGTCCCGTGGGTGGTGTCATGATCTCGTGGCGTGGCGTGGCGTGGTGTGGGGTACGGTGTGATGTGGCGTGATGTTGTGTGGCGTGGTGTGTGGTGTGGTGTGTGCGTGTGTGTGGTGTGGTGTGTGTGTGTGTGTGTGTGTGTGTGTGTGTGTGCGTGTGTGTGTGCGGTGCGGTGTGGTGCGGTGCGGTGCGGTGCGGTGCGGCGTGGTGTAGTGTGTAAGTGAGGTCGGTTGCGACACCATCACAGAGATCGCACTTGCCATGTAGGTGCCCCATGGGAGGTGTCATGAGGACGTGATGTCGTGATGTCGTGCCTTTCTGCGGGGGGGATGCCCGGGCAGACTCCTGCCGGCCTTAGTCAAAATGAAGAACACGAGAGGCCGCGGGGGCAGGAATGGAGGAGGGGGAAAGGAGGGCCGAGAGCGAGGATACCACATCAGGAGCAACCTTTTTGACATCGGATCTCGAATGTGTGCGTCGCGAGCTACGCCTCGTAGTCGCCGACGCATCGCCGGGCCGGCCCGTCGGCTGCGCCGGCGCGCACCGCCGCGGGAGGAGCAAGAGGAAACGATGCGGTACTGCGTGCGGAAGTCGCATGCAGAAGGCGCTGGAAAAGTCCCCGGCCGCACCCCGCCCTGCAGCGGATGGCGCGCGGAAGCGTCGAGTAAACAGAAAAACTGCGTCAGCAGCCCGGGTGTGCGTGCAACCCCGGGTGCCTTTCTGCGAACGCAGCGGCGGGGAAAACGACATGCTTGAGCAGCTCGGGCGTGCGTGTAATCCCGAGTGCCTTTCTGCGGGAGCATGCCCGTGGAGACTTCTGCCGGCCCTCGTCAAAATTAAACGCGAGAGGCCGCGGGGGCAGGAATGGAGGAGGGGGAAAGGAGGGCCGAGAGCGAGGAAACCACATTAGGAGCAACCTTTTTGACATCGGATCTCGAATGTGTGCGTCGCGAGCTACGCCTCGTAGTCGCCGACGCCTCGTAGTCGCCGACTCGAAGATAGAACAAGAAGGAGAGAGGTAAATCAACGTACACCTCACAACAATGCCGTGACCCCCCAACATATCGTGGCCAACGATTGTGAAAACCGCTCTTACCAATCTCATCAGGGCGAGGCATGCAAGATATTTGAGGCACCAGACGGTATCGATACCGATGCTTCATGGCCCTCTCCTGGGGTGCCTTCTGACCAGACTCCCGAGGCGAATCCAGCGGTGGCGACGAGGGCCTCCCAGGAGGCCCAACGAGGCGCAAACGAGGCAAGGGTAGCGGTATGTGTGTCTGGAGAACCTGGGGCGGATCGGGAAAGGAGACGCTGCCATGAGCTCTCGGTGGCACGGAGGGCGTGGCCCTGCAGGTAGGGGTGACCTTTGGTGTGCAGCTTGGGGGGGGGGCTGCGGGGGAGGGAGGGGGCCAGATCCAAGCGCGTGGGCCAGTGCCTGAGGGAGCCCTGGTGGGCCCGCACCAAAGGTCAATTTGGCGAAGGGTCGCTCTCACGCGCAGCTGAATCTTGGTCCTGCAGGATCTGCCTCGTGGCAGCCCAACGCGCTGGGACAGCGCAGTAGAACATGATCGACCCACGAACCCGGAAAGGAATATAGAAATGTAAGGCATTGTAACATTTCAAAGACACCTGATTGGGCGACGGGCACATGCAATGCTAAATGTATCGATGATGATGTACTGTGCCGAGGGCTGTGCTGTGCTACGCCGTGCTGAACTGCGATGTGCCATGCCGCGATTGTTTTCTATATAGCGTTGTGGATCGAGTCCTCCCTGGCATCCGAGTCCTCACCGAACTGATCTGGAGCGTAAGCTCGAGCTGCTCAGGATGGTAGCTGCCCCAGAATTAATCGACAGAGGGAACATGCCAAGAGGACGCGCCGCGGAACGTCCCAAGGGACGCGCCAGGCGACGTGCCAGGGGACGTGCCATGGGGACGCACCGTGGGACGTGCCAAGGGGACGCGCTACGGAACGTGCCAATGGACGTGCCGAGGGACGTGCCATGGGACGCGCCGCGCGACGTGCCAGGTGGACTCGCCACGGAACGCGCCAAGGAACGTGCCAAAGTGTATAGTTGAGTGTATCGATATTGATGTACCGTGCCGACGGCTGTGCTGTGCTGGGCCGTGCTGAACTGCGATGCGTCATGCCGCGATTGTGCTCTCTCTCTCTCGTGCCAAAGTGTATAGTTGAGTGTATCGATATTGATGTACCGTGCCGACGGCTGTGCTGTGCTGGGCCGTGCTGAACTGCGATGCGTGGATCTGGATCGTAAGCTCGAGAGCAGATGGTAGCTGCCCCAGAACTAATCGACAGAGGGAACATGCCAAGAGGACGCGCCGCGGAACGTACGTGCCACCAATGGACGTGCACCGCGCGACGTGCCAGGGGGACTCGCCACGGGACGCTCCGCGGAACGTGCCAAGCAACATGCCAGGCTGCAATGCTAAGGTATCGATATTGATGTACCGTGCCGAGGGCTGTGCTGTGCCTGGGCGACCTGGACACGTGAAAACACGCGTTTCGCTCAAGACGTTGTCAGCACATCCTCATGCTAGACATCCGCTTGGGCAACCTGGACACGTGCAAACAAAGCGTCTCGCTCGAGACATCCTCAACAAATGCTCATGTTAGACATCCGCCTGGGCGACCTGGACACGTGAAAACAAGCCTCTGGTTCGAGACATCCTCAACAAATCCTCATGCTAGACATCTGTCTGGGCCACCTGGAGGCGTGAAACCAAGCGTCTCGCTCGAGGCATCCTCAAGACCAGGGCACGAATCCACTTGAGAGATCCTCAGAATTCAGGCCCCCAGGAGAGGACAATCTATAACACAAAACAAGCGTTTCGCTCGAGACATCCTCAACAAATTCTGAAAAACAAGCGTTTCGCTCGAGACATCCTCAAATCCCACCAGCCCTTTGGGCGTGAGTGGTTCAGCGAGCTCTCTCTGTCCTCAACCCCCCTTCTTCCCCTTCGGGGAGGGGTTTACCCCTCCCCCTACCCCCTCCCCCTGGGCCTGGAGGGGGTGTTCCGCGGGTCGCCGGGGGGGTCTTTTTCGACTCCTCGGAGGGCTAAAAAACGACACCCCTCACGAGGATTCTGGCCCCGACGGGGGGACGGAGATAAGGTACCCTCCTCTTCCTTGAAGCCAAAAACATTGATTTTACTACGGTTTTGGCTCCATTTGGCCCTTCTGAGGGGGCAGCGCTCATGCAAGCTCCCCCCTCCCGTCAAGGCAATATTATTGATTTTACTAAGGTTTTGGGCTCATTTTGCCCTTCCGAGGGAGCAGCGCTCATTAAAGCTCCCCTCTTCTTGGATCCATGCCCTCCAAGATGGCCCCCCGAAGCGCCCAGGAGGCACCAAGAGGCCCCAAGATGGCCCCAAGAGGCCCCCCGGAGGCCCCCAACCGGGCGCGCCGGGCGCGCCGGTCGCGCCGGTCGCGCCGGTCGTGCTGATCGTGCCGGTCGCGCCGGTCGCGCCGGTGCCGGTCGCGCCGGTCGAGCCGGTTGTGCCGGTCGCGCCGGTCGCGCCGGTCGCGCCGGGTGCGCCGGTCGCGCCGGTCGCGCCGGTCGCGCCGGTCGCCGGTGCCGGTCGCGCCGGTCGCGCCGGTCGCGCCGGTGCCGGTCGCGCCGGTTGCGCCGGTCGCGCCGGTCGCGCCGGTCGCAATCGCGCTGGTCGCGCCGGTGCCGGTCGCGCCGGTCGCGCCGGTCGCGCCGGTTGGTTCTAGTTCGGTCCCCTTTGGAAGAGGCCCCAAGAGGCCCCCGAGAGGCCCCGAGAGGCCCCAAAGAGGCCCCGGAGAGGCGTCCCAGAGGCCGCCGAGAAGCTCTCAGGATGCTCTGATACACGTACGTAGGCATGCAAATCCGCAGACTTCCCTCGGTTCACGAGGCGCCCAGATCACACGTGTAATACGCATTCGAGGCACGTACCTGAGGATAAGCGTCATGTGAGCATACTCGCAGCCCCCCAAAGGCCTCCAACAGGCCTGCAGGACGCTCCCAAGAAACCCCCAGATGCCCCAAAACAACAACCCAAGAAGCCTCCAACACGGCAGAACGGCACGGCAGAACAGTACGGCACGCGAGCAGGGCAAACCGGCCAACGCCCAGGATGTGGCGCAAGCCTCTGGAATCATCGCGCCCAAGATTCCCGACAGACCCCTAAGACGGCCCCCAAAGGCACCAGACGGCGCAAGAGCACCCCAAGCCGTCCCAAGGCGCCCCCACGAAGCCCCAGAAGACCCCAAAGAGGCCCCCAGGAGGCCCCACACTGGACTGTACGTGCTCTGGACATGCACACCGCGAAGCGAGAGGAATCCACGTCCAGAGGTGACATTCTGAGTCGTAGCGCTTTCTGCGGAGGCGATAACGCAACGTATCCAACGTATCCAACTGTTTATAATGGTTGCTACACGTTGTTTTACTTTGCACTATTACGCAACCCCCTAACCTTCCCCCTCCCGCCACATCCGTCGACCCTAAGATGGAGGACCCTTTCTGGGCTCGATAAAACAACCAAAACCTATGCAACATGCGACAAAATCTTACATTTCTGCCGTCGGGGCCTTTTAGAGGTCCAAGAGGGCGTAAAAACGACCCAAGATGGCCTCAAGGCAACGCAAGACGGCCCCAAGTGGGCCTAAGCAGCCCCCGAGATGGCCCCAAGATGGCACAAAGGCCCCCAAGAAAGCCTCAAGACGGCACAAGAGGGCCCGAGAAGACCAAGAAAGAGGCAACCAACACGGTCCAAGAGGCCCCCAAGACGGCCCAAGAGGACCCCAAGACAGCCCCCAGGCGGCCCCGAGAGGCTCCCAAGACGGCCTCCGCGAAGGGGCCAGACAATCCAAGAGCCCCCAACACGGCCCAAGACGCCCAGAAGGGGCCCCAAAGAGGCCCCCAAGAGGACCCCAAGACGCCCCCAAGAAGCCCCCAAGAGACCTCCATTAGGCCCAACAACGACTTGATAGTACGTGCTCCAGACGTACACCCCGCAAAGCGAGAGGAATCATGACGAGGAGGAGCCTAACTTTAGGAGGCAACTCCTGGGAGGTCCTCGTTAGAACGATTTAGGGTTATTGTTACTTATCCCGCTTGGCCCAGGTTAAACCCGATTCGCCCAGATGAGGCCCAACATGATTCCCGATCTGGCCAGATTAAGCAGAATTACGCGGAAATCTAAAGGATGCCAGATCAGGCCAGCTGTCGGCCACGGATATACCAGCGCCGATGCTGAATTGAACCTCCCAGGAACTCCATCCGAGGAAGAGCTCTGCTTTTCTAGGGCGACGAAACCTATACTTAGGTCGGGCACGTCCCCCTACAGGCGGATTTTGGGCGAAAAATAAATGTAAACAAAATGGTAAAATGGAAGAGAATATCGTCCCCATACTATTGTTGACTATTTGGGGAAACTCCTCCTGTAGAGGGACAGGCCCGACTTGAACCTATGTATGTCCACTGCTCCCTGCCCAGGCTCCCTCCTGAAGCCCGCAGCGGTGCACACGCCACGCCCCCCTTGCCGAGCCATGGGGGGCGTGCACACAGTTGCTGGGCCCAGGAGAGGCCCAGCCAGGGGCAGTGGACATGTCTAGAAGATGAGCATCGTTTATCCGATCCCTATCCCCAGCGGCGTGGACTGGGCACCACTGGCCAATTTACCCCCATAGATGGGGATATAGGCCGTTCCCTTCGTGCTTCGAAGGGTGTATCCCCAACTGGGGGGGTAACTTGGTGGGGGTCTCGAAGGGGATGGGGATGGGGATGGGGGTCGGTTAAACGAAACTGAGAAGAAGAAAAAACGCAATAAACATAAACTTTTGGCGCTCCGTGCGGATCTCTTGGATCTGTGCTGGACCCACCCCATCCCTGGCGCGCGGAGCGCGCCAGAGGCGGCGCCGGAGGCGCCGCCAGGGGGGCCCAGAACAGAAGAGTCTGCATCGCTGCTGTCCGAGGACTGGCAAGACTGGTCAGGGAGGTTCACGCAGTACCCGATGTGTGCCCCATTGTTGTCATTGCACTGGGTGTTGATCCTAGGCCTCTGCGTATCGCAATTGCCACTTCCATTTCAATTACAGAAACCATCGTGCCAAGTTGGGGTTCCTGGCGGCATAAACAAATATGTCCAGTCCTGTGTCGCTGTTGCTGCGGCTCCAGATTCATTGCCCAGATTGGTGCTGCGAATGAAGCCAGAGCTGAAGAGCAATTGCGCGCTGGTGTACATCGCGCCCAGCTCGTAGGTATAGCAATTGTCCAATGTCTTGTAGCACAACGAAAGTACGGAGATCGGAAGTGTGTTGAACGCCGACATCTTGACGTCCTCGTCATCCGAATCGCTGACGGAAGCGCCGCCAACTTCGTTCAACACTGAAGTGTCTGTCCAATAACTGGCGTCGTACTGGAAGGTGCTAGAGCCCGCCTTCAGCTTCATCAACAGCACGGTGGGCGGAAGGGGCGGGCGGGGCGTTGGTGGGGGCGTCGGGATGGGCGTCGGCGCTGCCAACGGGCACCCTGCCTGCGCTAGGGCTTCGCTGGTGTCTGAGACACCTACCTTGGCATGGCTCGCGGCATCGATGCTGCAAACGTGAATCCACAAAGTGGCACCGGCGATTTCGAGCGTCTCTCCCGCTGCCAGTGTGGTCCACAGCTCGGTCATCTGATTGACGTTGGGCTGGAAGTGCACGTGGAGGCGGTCGGCCAACGTCAGATACGCAAAGGTAAACTTGTCGTAGATGGAGACAGTCCCTGCGTCGTCGATGCCGTACAAGGCTGGCGTGTCGGCCGTGCGGAAGGAGAGGTAGAGAGCGCCCACACCTGCTACAGACGCGCTATTCCCTACACATTCATCGCACGGGATTTTCACCATCAAGAACGGTGCACCAGTCGGCCCCTGGTTGAGAGCAGAGATGTTGACCGTCAAGTGGTTGGACCCACGAACGAACTCCTCGACCTCGGCTCCTGTGAGCCAACCCAGCCTATAGCGCGCCACCGCATTGGTGTCTGAGTGCCGCCACGACCGCTGATAGCCCATCACCGCATCGTCCAAGTACGGCTCGAAGGACCCGTCGCTTTTGTAGCCTCCTGCGTGGTGGAGGCCCCAATTGTGCCCGAGCTCGTGGAAACGTGTTCCAAGTAATGGCGCCAGCGTAATATTGAGATCACCCGTTCCAAGCACCAGTGGTAGGGAAGTAAGCGGTGGCAGCGAAAGAGCTTCCGGGTGCAATCACCATCGTATGAATGTAACTCCTGGTGCTGGCCTGCATTTGATACAATGGCTGAGAGGACACACTGTCATAGAGCGATCCAAGATTTGTTCCCCAAGTCGCTGGGTCCTCGGTAGACTCCATAGTGAAGAAGTCGACGTTGGAGGACGAGAGCCAAGCCGTGTGCCACGAACAGTGGTACAAAGAGTCGTTGAAACCGGGCACATTCCAAATTAACTCCTGGACATCCGCGAGAGTCATAGCGGGATTTGCGCCTTGGTGAGTCAGGTAGACGACGAGGATAGGGCCGCCGTCCCCGTGAACGGAGTCGACCATGATTCCGGAGCTGCCTGTATCGACATAGTCCTGAGTGTCGTCGTGGGTTTGCAGGAATGTCTTGAACTCTTCCTCTGGGCTCGGTGCAGCATTCGTTATGATGCCCTACTTCTGTCCATTATGAAGGTAGCTGGGCTGCAAGTGCAGGCTGACCGGTCGGACCAGTCGCCATGTAGTCAAACTGAAGAAAGTGTTCAGGATGGCCATCCTTCGTTCGATGTATACTTGAAACTGTAGCAACGGGGCAAGCCAAGACGACCTGCCTAGCGAAGCACACCCCTCGCAAGCCCAAATGCCTTGAGTCACAAAAGATACGGAACCTATACCAGCCTCATCATGAACACCGTGCGAAGAAGAGCAGCCAGGAGTGCAGGGAGGGCGAAAGGAACAGAACGCATAGCGCAAAGTGGCAACGAGAAGGAGAAAAAGGGCGCGGGGCATGGGAATCTGGGCCGCGTCCCCGCGCGTCGCCCGGAGACGGCTCGGCAGGACAGGCAGCATGGCGAGAGGGTCAGAACTCCTGGGGGCCCTGCACCGACGCGTTACAGCACCGGACCTGCGGGCTGAGGGTGGGCGGGTTCGGTGGGCGTGGGGGGGGGTCTCGAACGGGCCGCCGGGCGGGGTGGCATCGGGGGGGGCTCATGCAACAGCGAGGAGCAGGCAGCAGCAGGAGGAGGAGGAGCAGGAGGAGGAGCAGGAGGAGGAGCAGGAGGAGGAGCAGGAGGAGGAGCAGGAGGAGGAGCAGGAGGAGGAGCAGGAGGAGGAGGAGGAGGAGGAGGAGGAGGAGGAGGAGGAGGAGGAGAGCGCGCGGGCCCTGCCCCTGCAGGTCGGGCTTCCGAGACGCAGGCGGGCGGGGCGGGGGGGGAGCTCGACGGGGGACATGCAGCCACGTGGACCTCGGCAGGGGCAGGCGACTGGGCACGCAGGAGCACGGCAAGGCTCGTGGGTGGTCGCGGAGGAGAGGACGGGGAGGGGGGGAGGAGTCGCCCCTCCTCGCTCCTCCTCGCTCCTCCTCGCCCCTCCTCGCCCCTCCTCGCTCCTCCTCGCCCCTCCTCGCCCCTCCTCGCCCCTCCTCGCCCCTCCTCGCCCCTCCTGGGAGGCCGCGCCGCCGTCGGAGGAGGGGCCCCGATGAGTAGAAGGCGAGGGAATGTCAGGAGAAGGAGGAAGGAGGGCGGAGCTCTCCCTCTCGTGCGACGGGGTCTTCCCTCTCCTGCTGTTATGCTCCGGAGGTCTTGTGTTACGGTACACGTCGGTCGGAAGAAGTAGGTAAAGACATGAAGTAGGAAGGCGGATATTGTAGATTGGGTCCAGGTCCTCCCAGAGGACAACAAAACACAGCAAAAGCATGTCGATTCTTGAAGCAGGAAGGCGTTTGAAGTAGATTGGGATCTGGGAATCCAAAAATACCTACTTTCAACGACCGGCGTGTACTGCGTAACCCGTCATACCCCCCCCAACGGGCCACGCCACGTCCGTCGACCCACCGATGGAGGACCCTTTCTGGGCTCAGAGGACGAACCACAACATATGGAGCATCGAATATCTCGGCCTCGACAAACCACAGCATATGGAGCATCGAGCATATGGGCCTCTTAGGGAGGGCATCCAGACGGCTCAAGATGGCCTCATCTAGACGGCGCAAGACGGCCCCAAGACGGCCAAGATGGCCCCAGGAGGGCCCAACAGGCCCCCAAGACGGCCCCATTGGGCCCCAAGGGGACCCTCAGGAAAGCCTCCAGAGGCAAAAAGCATTGATATTCCTGGAGCTTTGGAACGTTTTTAGCGTTCTCGCCAGTTGGGACCCTCAGATGCCCATGACGGCCCAAGCAGCCTCCAGGATGACCCCAAGATGGCCCAAAAAGCCCCCAAGAGGGCCGCGAGAGGGACCCGCGAAGGCCCAAAGAGGCCCCCAAGATGCTGCAAGGAGTCCCCAAGACGCCCCAGGAGGACCCCAAGAGAGCCCCAAGGCGGCCTCGAGAGGCCCCCAAGACGGCCTCCGAAGGGGCGATACAACGCAAGAGCACCCCAAGACGGCCCAAGACGCCCAGAAGGGGCCCCAAGAGGCCCCAAAGAGGCCCCCAAGAGGCACCCCAAGAAGCCCAAGAAGGCCCCAAAAAGCCCCGAACACGGTCCAAAGGGCCCCCAAGACGGCCCACGAGAACCCCAAGAGAGCCCCGAGGCGGCCCCGAGAGGCCACGAGACGGCCTCCGAAGGGGTCAGACAACGCAAGAGCACCCCAAGACAGCCCAAGACGCCCAGAACGGGCCCCAAGAGGCCCAGAAGGCCCCCAAGAGGCCCCAAGAAGCCCCCCAGATGCCTCCAAGAGGCCCCCAAAAGACCCCCATAAGGCCCCACAACGACTTGATAGTAAGTGCTCCGGACGTGCACCCCGCGAAGCGAGAAGAATCATGACGAGTAGGAGTCAAACTTACGAGCCAACTCCTGCGAGGTCCTCGTAAGAACGGTTAGGGGCTAGTTGCTATTAAGCCCACGTGGCCCATGTTAAACCCGATTAGCCCAGATGAGGCCCAATACCAACCCCGATTAGGCCAGATTAATCGGGATTGCGCAGAAACCAATGAGATTATGCCAGATCAGGCCAGCTGTCGAGAATACCAGCGCCGATGCTGAATTGAAACTCCCAGGAGTTGCATCCGAGGACGAGCTCTGTTTTTGCGTTGTTCAGGCCAGTGAAACAGAAGTGACAAAAGTGAGAGCTGCTGCCCGCTCACGCAGCGATTGCCACAGCCAGTGACGCCATGGAGAGGCCCGAGCTATCCAATTGCTCGTTAAGAGCAACTCTATTGTGGCACGACGCTGGACGCTGTGCTACGTGTGTGTGGTCGTCTTCCCCCAGAAGGCCTCCGACGGCAAATCCTGTCAGCCCCAAGTGCTTCACGTACAGGTTCAAGTACAGTATGCCTGTGGGCGTGCGTCCATGAACGACTTTCATCTCGACCTTGCCAAATGCAATCCATTCTGCAGCCTCGGCGGCGAATTGCGATACGCTGTAACGATACCCTCCAGCTTTTTTTGCCTCTGCCCAATACCCTGTGATGTTCACGTCTTGGAAATACATGTCCATACAAGACTCTCCCAACTGGCGCGCTTCGGCCTGCACGCGAAGCATTGTGTTGTTATCGCTCGACCCACGCGGGATGCGTACAAGAACATGCTGACCTGGACGCATCAGGTCGAACCGCTGGCCAAGAACATTTTGAAGGTGAGGGTCGCCCGTGGCGGAGACAGGACCTGGACTCGTCGGAGAAAGCGTCGGCGAAGGAGTCGGCGGAGGCGTCGGTGAAGGCGTCGGCGAAGGCGTCGGCGAAGGCGTCGGCGAAGGCGTCGGCGAGGGCGTCGGCGAGGGCGTCGGCGAAGGCGTCGGAGAATGCGTCGGCGAAGGCGTAGGCGAAGGCGTCGGCGAGGGCGTCGGCGAAGGCGTCGGCGAAGGCGTCGGCGAAGGCGTCGGCGAAGGCGTCGGCGAAGGCGTCGGCGAAGGCGTCGGAGCTGAAGTCGTTGAAGACGGGGGCCCACCTGCGAAAAGCCATGCTTGATGCTGGAACTGCTGCACCCCAGACGACCCCGCGCCAGATATGAAGTATTCCCCAAAGGGGGCGTTAACATTATTGGGCCAATTCTGCGTCTTTAGCCCTATCCCTACAGGGGAGTCTGCATCGCTGCTGTCCGAGGACTGGCAAGACTGGTCAGGGAGGTTCACGCAATACCCGATGCGGGCCCAATTGTTATCATTGCACTGGGTGTTGATTCCAGGCCTCTGCATATCGCAATTGCCACCTCCATTTCCATTCCAGAAGTCATCGTACCACGTGGGGGTTCCTGGCGGCAAAAACAAATCTGTCCAGGCCTGTTTCGCTGCTGCTGCTGATCCAGAGCCATAGCCCAGATTGGTGCTACGAATGAAGCCCGAGCTGAAGAGAGATTGCGCACTAGTGTACGTCGCATCCAGCTCGTAGGTATAGCAATTGTCCAACGTCTTGTAGCACAACGAAAGTACGGAGATCGGAAGTGTGTTGAACGCCGACATCTTGACGTCCTCGTCATCCGAATCGCTGACTGAAGCGCCGCCAACTTCGTTCAACACTGAAGTGTCTGTCCAATAACTGGCGTCGTACTGGAAGGTGCTGGAGCCCGCCTTCAGCTTCATCAACAACACGGTGGGCGGAAGGGGCGGGCTGGGCGTCGGTGGGGGCGTCGGGATGGGCGTCGGCGCTGCCAACGGGCACCCTGCCTGCGCTAGGGCTTCGCTGGTGTCCGAGATGCTTACCTTGGCATGGCTCGCGGCATCGATGCTGCAAACGTGAATCCACAGAGTGGCACCGGCGATTTCGAGCGTCTCTCCCGCTGCCAGTGTGGTCCACAGCTCGGTCATCTGATTGACGTTGGGCTGGAAGTGCACGTGGACGCGGTCGGCCAACGTCAATTCCGCAGAAGTGAACTTGTCGTAGATGGAGACAGTCCCTGCGTCGTCGACGCCGTACAAGGCTGGCGTGTCGGCCGTGCGGAAGGAGAGGTAGAGAGCGCCCACACCTGCTACAGACGCGCTATTCCCTACACATTCATCGCACGGGATTTTCACCATCAAGAACGGTGCACCAGTCGGCCCCTGGTTGAGAGCAGAGATGTTGACCGTCAAGTGGTTGGACCCACGAACGAACTCCTCGACCTCGGCTCCTGTGAGCCAACCCAGCCTATAGCGCGCCACCGCATTGGTGTCTGAGTGCCGCCACGACCGCTGATAGCCCATCACCGCATCGTCCAAGTACGGCTCGAAGGACCCGTCGCTTTTGTAGCCTCCTGCGTGGTGGAGGCCCCAATTGTGCCCGAGCTCGTGGAACATCGTATTCCAAGTAATAGCTTGAGCGTAATATTGAGACCACCCGTTCCAAGCACCAGTGGTAGGGAAGTAAGCGGTGGCAGCGAAAGAGCTTCCTGGTGCAATCACCATCGTATGAATGTAACTCCTGGTGCTGGCCTGTATTTGATACAATGGCTGAGAGGACACACTGTTATAGAGCGATCCAAGATTTGTTCCCCAAGTCGCTGGGTCCTCGGTAGACTCCATAGTGAAGAAGTCGACGTTGGAGGACGAGAGCCAAGCCGTGTGCCACGAGCAGTGGTACAGAGAGTCGTTGAAACCGGGCACATTCCAAAATAACCCCTGGACCTCCGCGAGAGTCTTAGCGGGATTCGCGCCCTGGTAAGTCAGGTAAACGACGAGGATAGGGCCGTAGTCCCCGTGGACGGAGTCGACCATGATTCCGGTGCTGCCTGTATCGACATAGTCCTGAACGTCCTCGTGGGTTTGCAGGAAAGTATTGAACTCTTCCTCTGGGCTCGGTGCAGCATTCGTTATGATGCCTTGCTTCTGTCCATTGTTAAGGTGCAGGCTGGCCACTTGGACTAGTCGCCATGTAAGCAAACTGAAGAAAGTGTTCAGGATGGCCATCCTTCGTTCAATGTAGACTTGAAAATGTAGCAACGGGGCAAGCCAAGACGACCTGCCTAGCGAAGCACACCCCTCGCAAGCCAAAATGCCTTGAGTCACAAAGGATACGAAACCGAAACCAGCCTCATCATGAACACCGTGCGACGAAGAGGAGCCAGGAGTGCAGGGAGGGCGAAAGGGACAGAACGAAAAGCGCAAAGCGGCAACGAAAAGGAGAGGAAGGGCGCGGGGCATGGGAATCTGCACCGCGTCCCCGCGCGTCGCTCCAAACGCTCGGCTCAGTGGTGGTGGTGGTTCCCAGAGCCGTCAAAGACGGCTCGGCATGACAGGCCGGCATGGGGAGAGGATCAGGACTGGGGACCCAAAGAATATACACCACCACCACGTCGATTCCTCCTCTCTCCTCTGTCCAGCGAGAGGGAGGGGGGGAGGGAGGTGGTGGTGGTGTATATTTTTTGGCCCCCCAAGGACTTCTGGGGACCCTGCACCGAAACGTCAAAGCATCGCATCTCTGGGTTAGGGAGTGGGTTCGGTGCGCGTGGTTGGGTCTCGAAGGGGCCGTCGGCCGGGGTGACATCGGAGGTGCTCATTTGAAGGGGCCCTGGGATACACAAATAAATACACACAAATAAAAAGATTCACCATATTATTGTTGTTTTTGTCTTCCCCTCCACGTCCCATATTTTGGCGTATTTTCCTGGGAATCGACGATTAATTGTGTCTGTGTGTTTCTTTCCCTCCTGGTCATTGAACAATGAGGAGTAGGCAACAGCACGTGAGCAGAATTCTGAAACGCAGGCGGGGGGGGAACCTGAAGGATGTATGCAGCCACGTGAACCTCTACAGGGGTAGTCGACTGGACACGCAGAGGGGCACATGAGGGTCCAAGGGGGGAGAAGGGGAAGAGGGGCCGGGGTATCCAGGAGGCGGAGGAAAATCAGGAGAAGGGGGAAGAGGACGGAACTCTCCTTCTCGTGTGACGGGTTTATCCTTCTCCTGCACTTACGTTCTCGATGTATCGTTTTACATAATCACGTAGTCCGCTCCAGCCCCCCGCCCGCGGGCCACGCCACATCCGGCGACCCACAGATGGAGGACCTTTATTTTTTCTGGGCGCAAAGAACCAACCAACATAGATCATATACGATACTAAAATATAATACAGTTTGATATACGAGTATAGAATGTACTACTACAATACAACGCAGTACAATATAATACGACATAATATGATACAAAACGCTGCAATATAACATACGATGCTATTACATGCGAAACTTGCTTTAATACAGAAAATGATGGTACACGATGCTATATCAGAACATGGTATGAAATAATGGTTTGTGATATACTACGATCGGAAAGAACGTCATGCAATACAATACACTTACACATAGACAAATACAGTACAAGACACAACACTCGAATGATATATAGTAGAATATGTTTTAACAGCACGCAATGTGCTACAATATTTTGTCATGAAAATACCAAACAAAAAAAAAACATGGAACGATCTAATACAATATGCGATGGCTATATATGAACAAATACGATGTGATATACAATGGTACGTTATAATGAAATATACTATAGAAACAGAAATGCAATAACTTAATATGATATAATACGTTGTAATAAATACAACGCATATTAGTATAGCGTGGTGCAATATAAACCGTACCATGTAATAACGTGATCAACTATGAAAGAAACTAATACACTGCAAGATGAATGTAAACACACATATGTAAATGTATGGCTTATATATATATATATACATATATATATATATATATATATATATACATATATACATACACACACGTGGGCCTCTAGGGGGGTCCAAGAGGGCATCAAGACGGGACAATATGGCCTCAAGACGGCGGAAGATGGCCCCAAGAAGCCCAACAGGCCCCCAAGACGGCCCAAGAGGGCCCTAAGGAAGCCCCCCAGAAAGCCTCCATAAGCAAAAAAAAACTGTTTGAAAACTTTGGAACGTTTTTAGCGTTGTCGCCTGTTGGAGCACTCGGGTGCCCATGACAGCCTTAGCAGCCTCCAAGATGGCCCCAAGATGGCCCAAAAAGCCTCCAAGAGAGCCGCAGGAAGGCCCCAAAAAGGCCCAAAGAAGCCCCAAAGACGGTCCAAAAGGCCCCCAAGAGGCGGCCCCGAGAGGCCACGAGACGGCCTCCGAAGGGGACAGACAACGCAAGAGCACCCCAAGACAGCCCAAGACGCCCAGAACGGGCCCCAAGAGGCGCAGAAGGCCCCCAAGAGGCCCCGAGAAGCCCCCCTGATGCCTCCAAGAGGCCCCCAAGAGACCCCCATTAGACCCCACAACGACTTGATAGTACGTGCTCCGGACGTGCACCCCACGAAGCGAGGGGAATCATGACGAGTAGGAATCGAACTTTAGGAGGGAACTCCTGCGAGGTCCTCGTAAGACCGATTACGGGCTATTGTTATGTTCTCAAGCCCGCTTGGCCCATGTTACACCCGATTAGCCCAGATGAAGCCAAAGATTAATCCCGACTAGGCCAGATTCAACAAGATCGCGCGGAAATCGACGGGGCCATCCCGGATCAGGCAAGTTATCGGCCACTGATATACCAATGCCGACGCTGAACTCAACCTCCCAGGAATTGCATCCGAGGACGAACTCTGTTTTTCGCGATGTTCTGGCCACCAGAACAGAGCTCACAGGAATTCCGCGGCCGCGGCTCTGCGGGCCGGCCGTCGCCGGCACCGCGGGAAGGATTTTTAAAACATTGACCACTACTGGCGAGCCGCTCTCGCTTCGCAACGCGGATGGCAAATCACCGCCCCCAGGTTAAAATATCAATCGGGGTCAGAGGACTCCGCGCGGCATACACGAGCAACCTGCACCGAAGAAGCCTCATCCTCGCCTCGGCGGAGTGCCTCTCGCACTTCGCGAAGCTGCTCGCTGGGCCCCATGTCCTCGGAGCCCCCCCCGCCTTTTCAGGCGCATCACGGCCTTCTGGGGGCACCTCGATAGCCACGTCGCCCAGTTTCGGGCGTCGCCCTTTCGGTGCGCGATACTTCCGCCGCTAGAGACTGCTGCGAGTCGGAGGTCTGAACCCCTCGGCCAACAAGGCCAGAGGGCCTAGCGTTAAAATCGCTTCGAGACCAACGCACGCGAGAAGGAACAGAGCGGTCGCAGCTGCCAAAAAGCCAACAGAGGGTGTCCTCTCGCTCCCACTTGCTTCAGCGATTCTGCCACTACTCCCGAGCAACTAAGCGTCGGTGGTTGATCGATCTCTCCAAAATCAAAATCTTTTAAAGGTCGACGAACTTGCATACAGATGGCGCACCTCAAGCAGGTGCTGCACCATTCCCACTG